TGGGGTTCCCTTAAAGGGATCTATAGGAGGTTCCTTTAAAGGGATCTATAGGAGGTTCCTTTAAGGGATCTATGAGGGTTCCCTTTAAAGGGGATCTATGAGGGCTCCCTTTAAAGGGATCTATGAGGGTTCCTTTAAAGGGATCTATGAGGGTTCCTTTAAAGGGGATCTATGAGGGTTCCTTTAAGGGATCTATGAGGGTTCCTTTAAACAGGTCTATGAGGGTTCCTTTAAAGGGATCTATAGGGTTTTAGGGTTTGGGTTGTATATACCTGACATCATATTGTAGATCCTACGATACTTTGGTTTAGGTTCCTCAATGAAGGGGTTTCGGAGGATCTTGGTGTATAGGGTATGATACATGGGTGGTTTAGGGGCCCAAAAAGCACATAAAGCATAAGCAGAAGGATTCTCTATCTTATTGGGCTCCATTATAAGGGGGTTTATATAGGAGATGCGTATCCTAATTTTTGCTTATGGTGCTTTTTTTTGGGGTCCCTATGGCAGTGGCCTGGGCTTTGGGGGAGGAGTGGGGTTTCGGGGTTTAGGGCTTTGGGGGAGTCGGGGGTTTGGGGGAGTTGGGCTTTGGAGGTTTGGGGTTTAGAGTTCAGGGTTTGGGCTTTAGGGTTGCAGGGTTTTTTTTGCAAAGGATCCCTGGAGGGTTCTGTTCTATAAGGTGTTCTTTAAGGGCTTCAAAAGAGTTTCTCGAAGGATCTTCGACAGGTTTCTTTGAGCGTCTTTTCGTTTTGCTGAAGGGTTTGTCTAAGCGTTTCTTTCAGGGCATCTTCAAGGGTTTCAAGCTGTCTCCTTGAGGGATTTTGGAGGAGTTCTTCAAGGGTACTACCGCTGTTTCTGTAAGGCAGGGTAGTACAAGGGTTTCTTACAAGGTTCGCTTTTCAGGATACTATAAGCCTAAGCGTTTCTTTGCGGGTCCTTGAGGACTCGAAAGATTTCTGTAAGGGTTTCCTAAGGTGTCGTATCAGCGTGTTAGAAGGCCTTTGCTTATGGGTTTCTCTGAAGCTTTTCTTTTTTGGGTTCTATGAGGGTTCATGAGAGGGTTTGGGGTTCAGGGGATATGGTCAAGGGTCTTATTAGGATTATGAATGATTTTTTCAAACCTTTGGGCTGTATGCGGGTTTCAGACGTTGCGGCCTTCATGCTTTTAGGATCTGGGGTTGAGGATTTGGACTGCAGGTTGGAGGAGGTATTGGAATTTGAATCCAGGCTCAGGGCTTTGGATAACTGGCATTACCAATATGCTGCATTTTCACGAAGCTATCGCAGCCATATAGGGCTCATTATTATTGACTTAAATTTGGGCCATGGGGAAATGTCTTGGCTATAGAACAACAGAGATCATCCCCTCTTATAAGCCTGTGCGGAACTTATTATATAATAGACCGCAGAACCCAATCAAGAGTTCCACCGCTCCCCATAGCCAGCTTCCTTAAGTCATACAGCCGTCCAAGGGTAAAAGGAGGGACCCTTAATAAGGACCCCTCGGTATATACCCTTAGAATAGCCATTATATACCCATTATATAGCCCATTATAGGGTAGCGCGCCATTAAGGGTCCCTCCTTTTCCCCTTTGAAACCGGAACTGTCTTGGGAGCATTTCACAGGGATATCCCTACCATAATGGGCTTCCTTATAAGGGGGTTTAATTTTTGCTCATACCCTAAACCCTAAACCCTAAACTGCTTTTTTGGGGCTCTAGGAATTCTCTTGGGAGCACTATGAGACGCCAAGGTACGGCGGCGGCCTCGTTTGGGAAGAGCCCGACTGTGAACTCATATGCCGCAAGCCTGAAGAGTCTGACTAAGGTTTAGGGTTTAGGGATTTAGGGTTTAGGGTTTGGGGTTCAGGGTTTAGGGTTTAGGGATTTAGGGTTTAGGGTTTGGGGTTTAGGGTTCAGGGTTTAGGGATTTAGGGTTTAGGGTTTGGGGTTTAGGGTTTAGGGTTTAGACTATGGTCTAGGGATTTAGTTTCAGGATTTTTTTGGGCTCTCAGGGTTTCAGGGTGTTTTTGTAATTTTTCAGGGGGTGGTAGGGTTCAGGAGATGTGTTGAGGTCTTGCGGGGTGAGGGCATCGTGAGCATAGTATTATAGTGGAGGGTTTAGGGGATTTAGCCTAGGCCGGTCGCTTCGGGAGGTCGGGTGTAGTGTACAGCTGTAGGATTTCGGGGTCCGCGGTTTTGCTGTTTAGGGCTCCGGCGTTCTGTTACGTTTGGTGTTTAGCTTTCATATCGTTTTGCAGCATGACGATGGAACCCTCACTGCAAAATTGCTTGGGGTGTTAGGGGTCCGTTAGGGTCTTGGGGTTGAGTTTTCTGGGTTTACGGCTTGTTGAATTTTTTGGGGCTTTTGTGGGTCTTCGAGTTTGGGAGGGGGTTCAGGTGTTCGGGTTTCGCATTGAATAGTGTCTCCAGCCTAAGTCCCGCATGCTAAAGAGAGCAGAATGATCCTTTAAAGAATCCGAAAAGACCCCTCAGCGGCCCTAAACCCTCTTCAAGAATCCCCAACAAAAAAGGATCCCTGAAAGATTCCCCCAAACACCCCCTAAACCCTAACCCCTAAACCCCTAACCTTAAACCCAAGGTACCCCCCTTACAGGGCTCAAGACTTACCTTTGCTTAGCAGGGAATGGAAGAATCGTAGTAACAGTAGTTATACTTGTACCCCATTCCTCCATTCCCTACAAGAACCCCCACACCCCTAAACCCTAAACCCTACATCCCTAAACCCCTAAGACCCTAAACCCCTAAAGCCCTAAAACCCTAAACCCCTAAACCCCTAAACCCCTAAAGCCCTAAACCCCTACACCCCTAAACCCCTAAACCCAACATATCCCTAAAACCCTAAACCCAAGATACCCGTAAGGGCTCAAGACTTACCTTTGCTTAGTAGGGATTGGAAGAATGGCAGTGCTACTAGTTATACTTGTACCCCATTCCTCAGGTCCTCCATTGCCTACAAGAACCCCCGCACCCCTAAACCCTAAACCCTACAACCCTAAACCCCTAAACCCCTACACCCCTAACGCCCAAAACCCCTACACCCCTACACCCCTACATCCCTAAACCCCTAAACCCTTAAACCCCTGCACCCCAAAACCCCAAAACCCCTAACCCTAAACCCAACATACCAAAAAAACCCAACATACCCCCCTCAAGAAGTCCCCAGGTCCCCCGTTTCCCGGGGTCGGGGCCTGAGCGGAGTTCTTGGGTGGCTACTTGGAGATTCAGGGGTAGTTCTAAGTGGGGTTATAGGGGGCTTAGGGTTACCTTAAGGGTTCTATAGGGTTTAGGGTTTAGGGGTTTAGGGGTTGGGGTAGTTACAAGTAAGGTTATCCCTAGCTACCCCACTTATAACCCGACTTATAACTACCTTTGAACCTCCAAGTAACTGGGGCTTGGTTTGGAGGCTCTTTGGGGTTTCGGGTTTAGGGTTTAGAGGGTTAAGGTGGGTGTGGGTCGGGGGCTTCTTGCAGGGTCGAAGGTAGAATAACCATAAGTGTGTCCACAAGGGTTACCAGAATCGGGGTCACGCGAACGGCTTCTCTCTTTGAGGTTTGGGTTTTCCTGTCTCGAGTTCACTGCAGGGTTCGGGGCAGGTTGGCCACAAGGGTTGCCATGAGCTCGATTCGAAGGGCTACTATAAGGGCTTTGAGTTTGGGTTATCATGAGGGCGATAAGAAAGGCTACAATAAAGGCACTCCCAATTTGGGCTTCGATGATGGGCGCCAGAGGTTTGGGCTTACCGCTTTAGGGTAGATTTCGTTAAGGGTTCCGTGGGGCTTGAGGGGTTTACGTTTTAGTGGGTCTAGCGATGTCTAGGGTGGCAGGGCTTAGTCGGGTTTAGAGTTTGGAGGTTAGAGCTTTAGGTTTGCTTGTAGGTTCGGTTCACTTGTCGTTGTACTTTTTGCTATTGTGTCTATGTCCTAACAGGTAAATCTGACTACCAAGGATCCCAGCACCTGTGAGATCCCTCCGCGAGGGCGCTAAGTTACTGCACTCTGAATGAACCCTGGCCCTAAGTCCCGCACCGAGGTAACTTTTGGGAGCTTGTGTCTTTGCGTCAAGGCCGGCAAAACCCGACGGACCCGGAACAACTACCTATGTTTAACTCACTTCCGTGCGAGTGGGAAGATGTTGAGAAACCGCTGATAAGCTCCGATGTTCCTGCCGGGCGTGCTAAGGGCACGCCAGCCGGCTACGAGAACGTAGATGGAGTGTGGCGATGTGCTGCCCTCGGAGGGTAGGGTGACTGCGGCACGCGGGTTATCGGAGCTGCTTCGTTTTGGAGTAGAGGATACTCTATCTTGAGGAGTCCCAGCTTCCGGCGGGTCTCGGAGTCTAGGCTTCCATGGTTTCGATACGGTGGTTGTCTTACGGATGGCATGGCTTGGAAGCGCAGGCGTCTGCAGCCTGGGCTCTGACGACATGAGCTTCAGGCTGCATCTAAATCTGCGCCTCCCTGGGCCCCCAGGGGGCCCTGGCCAAGATGGCCAAGCCATGGCCGCCGTGGGGCCCCGTGCGTGGCTACAGCCCGCCTGGACCGAACATTCGTCTCTTGGCGAGCGCCTGCAGTGTTGTCTCGATGCCATGACGACAATGCCGGATAACGTCTATTTGCAGACGAGTCAGATCAAAATAACGGCAGAGTTCTTCAAGCAAGCTGGGCAATGCTCTTTGGACACGCAGCTCTTGGAGGAATATCTCAGGCTTCTAGCAGCAGCCATGCAGAAGCATCAGGGAAACCCAAAGCTGCAAATCGAAAGCAGCCTTGCTCTGCATGTGATGGCCTCGACCTTTGGAGCCAGTCTCGCAAAATTGGAGGGCTTTGAAGATGTTCTGAGTCGGCTCTCGGAGGCGATGCGGACTCATCCGAACGATCACCTCGTGCAGAGATGGGCCGCTCGGGCCCGGGAGGAACTCACCAACGCGCGGAACACGGCTGCGAGTGGGCGCGTGGCAGCCGCCTCGCGTCAATCGGACGCGATGCCGAACGACGGCGAGGGAAGGTCGAACACACAGCGGCCTGCGGCTTCCAGGAACTTGGACCAAGCTCTTCGCCATAACACCAGCACGCTTCCCACTGCGGCACGCTCCTCACAGGATCCTCCGCCCGCGGGTGCTCAGTCATCTCAAGAGCCCGAGTTCCAGCTGGGTGTAGAACTGGTGGGTGTAGACAAATGCGCACCACCAGGGATACAGATCTGCCAAGCCTGTAACGCGATCTTCGAGGGTCTCACGACAAGTGGAGAAGGCAGCGAAGCACACACAAGGTGGCAGACAACTCTACGCCGCATCTGTGACAAAGCAAAGGAGGATTCACAGAGGTCCGATGTGTTGAAGCTGAGTGTCTTTGGGCTGATGTCGGATGAGAATATCGAGAAGTTTCTTCTTTCTACCGACCACAGAAGGTGGAAAAAAATTGAAGAGCACACAGAACACTTTCTCAAACTCCTGGACGCGCCAGGGTTAGAAGCCCCCTCTCGAAGAGCCCCGCCGCCAGATGCGGCTGAACGGGTTCAAGTCTTTGAACATCACCATCCTCAATATGAGTGGAGGTCCTTGAAGCCAGTGGTTATGGATCAATCCATCCGAGAGCCTGCAACGAACACACCTTTCGGGCACACTGGCTACATGAAGTATTTGACACTGCAAATCATCCGAAAGATGGAGTTCAACGACATTGCTATCACTGGTCAATACTACGGGGAGAAGTACACGCCAGAAACACAAGTGCTTGAATGGATCAAATATAAGGGGGAGAAAGACAAAAGAGACAAGTTCGTGAAAGATCCCAGGCACACCATGCGTGGCCTGGTGGCAATGTTTGCACCGGGTGACCATGACAGAAAAGCGGGCATCCATAGCATCAAAAAGTTCAAGGTTCCGAATGCTTTCCTTGATCTAACCTTCAAAGCCAGTGTTCGCTTCAAGGATACAAACTTCGTACAATCTGTGATCAAGGCTGTGGAAGAGCTGGACGAAATCTATTCTGAGTTTGGCTGGCGGTCATGGCGTGAGGATCACCACATCAACAGCGATTTTGCCTTTGGTGAGATCTCTATCAACCTGGTGGACCTAATGGAGTATTTGAATCTCAGTGGCGATGGGAGCATGGAAAAGCAGAAGATGGAGGATGTGGAGAAGGCTTTCAAGGCATGGAAAGGCAATGATGCATTCAAGCGCCGTGTTGTGGCCATCTTGGTAGAGGAGGGTCGAGGGGTGGCTGACTATGAGGATTACGGCACGTTGGTGCGTTGGATTCGCGAGTTCTTTCCAGCTAAAGAGCAGTACCGAATCCTGGTTCACGCCCATGCCGGAACCAACAACCATCAGGACGGTAGCTCTTACTATTCGTTGCCTTTCTTTTTTTCGTCATTCTATCCTGGAAGTAGCAGTACTGAAACTGGAAGCCTCTACCCGTAAACCCCGAAACCCCGCAGCTATGTTTTAGTTTCCAGGACGTGGCGAGCCTCAAAGCCGTGAAGCACGGTGCGAACGGGATATGGGCAGCTCTGATTCTTCCACCACGAACTTGCGCAGGTTTTTATCTTTTCGCCTTTCTGGTATTACCTTGATACTACCAAAATCATGAATCCGAAGCCTTCAGGACCGAAGCCTAAAGCCCCTAAGACCAAAACCCCTGAAGCTCCGAAGCCCTAAGCTGCAAGACCGTTGATCCTGCATTGATTCGTAAGCTTCTTGTAAAACACCCCTGAAGGCGATTTGTAAGATCCCTTAAAACGGTTTAGGGTTTAGGGTTTAGGAGTTTAGGGTTTAGGATTTCTCGGAAGACGCAAGGATCCCTCAGGCAGCCCAGGCGGGCCACAACTCCAGCCTCGTGTTCTTAGACTACCTCCTCCACCACGGCAATGAGCACGTCCTGAGACTTACTTCTCATAAGTTTAGGTTTTAGGGTGAGGGTTTCGGGTTCAGGATGTAGGGTTTGGGGTAGAGGGTTAGGGTTTCCTGAAATGCATAAGCATGCCAGCATAAGCCAGCATGCCAGTAGCAGTCGTGTCGATGAGACGATCAAAGCACTGTTGCAGGAAGAAAAGTCGGATGAGAGCAGTAATTGGACCAACAGCAGTGTATGGGACAATTGCAAGTATGAGTATCGCACTCAAAGCAAGTTGAGCGACTATGTTTGGTATAGTTAGGTCACAAAATTTTATACTGGCAAGGAAGTAGAAACACAAGCACGGATGATTTGCAGATTCTAATTGTAGGGAACTAAGGAACGACTTCCATCTCTTCCAAGCGCTGGAATGCGCACGTCACATCTACTACCTGCACCTGTGCTGGCAAGCTTTCATTCAGCCGTAAATCCTAACCCCTCTAAGCTTACACAGTCCTAAACCCGAAACGGCCAAACCTTTTACCCCTAAGCCCAAAACCCCTAAACCCCAAACCCTCTAAACTCTAAACCCTGACCTTAAACCCTGAATTCCTGGTTTCTCCGTTTATGAGTCCTAAGGAACTTCAATACACACGATATTCCCGACGACTGCCCAATCTGGGGCGAGCGGGTCGGGCAAGAAACCCACAGTGCCTTCAACGTTCTGAAGGGCGAGACGTGGCGAAGAAAGAAAGACAATTTCTACGATTATTGGGGAGAGGATGAGACTTGGCACGAACCCAGAGGTTCAACTCCTTGTTGATGTATCTTGGGGACAAGATTACAATCTGTTTGTGCAGTGCCAGTACAGCGCCTCATCAACGCTCTACTTGGAGGTTCAGGGATAGTTATAAGTGGGGTTACAAGTCCCGCAGTATGGGGTTCTAAGTATAGTTACCCTACTTAGAACCCTACTTTCAACCCTACTTATAACTACCCATGAACCTCCAAGTCGGGGCTGTCGGCAGTCGGCATGCAGGCGTTGTTGTTCTTGAGCCCGAAGCTTCGTCAGTTCCTGGATGGGGTGAACGTGTGCAGATGCAAGTAATATACGGGCCTTATATTTATAGTGTAATATGCTCAAAACCCTATTCTGATTATTGAGGCTAGGCATCTGATCGAGTCACCCGCCCGAACTTGAAAGCTCCGGCGTCAGCTAGCCAGTACCCTTATCCAAGTTGAAGACGGCGTACACGTTTCGGCTGGTCTGGGTTGTTCGGAAACACCACAGCACTCTGCTGAGGAGAAGCTGGAGATCAACAAGCTGCCAGACAAATTACACGACCTCACAGAAGAAGGTGAAGGTGAGGACCGTGGAAATTATCGCACCTCAGAACGGCAGATGGTAGGTGTTGGGTCATTTGCAGTAGCAAATGCAGCTGTTAGTGTTTTTGAAGCTGGTTGCAGCCAAGAGCTGTGGTTTCCAACTTTACTCGTAAGGTCGAAGTCCGAGACATTACATCCCAAGCTTTGTACTCTAGACGGCATGGTCATTGCAGGAACCCGGGATACTAACCGTAAAGCCCCAACCCGGACCCCAAACCATGCACCGTAAAGTCTACACCCGAAGACCGAAACTCAAACCCTGAAATCGTTGACCATCGACATGGGTGCTCGACACACATGCTGGGAGCCTGCCCAAACAAGCCCTTCCAGGGCGAGGGGCAGGTTGCCGCACAGGCCGTGAGGACCTACAACCACACACCAATCCATCTTAGTTGTCGGGCTGCTGTGAAATGCTGATTTTTTGCAGGCCTCTGGTGGAAGCAGAGAGCAAGCAAGCCACCGCTGTCGGGGGGTTTGGGGGCTGAACCCCAAAGCCCAGTTGAGAAAAGTTGCAGTGTTTGCGGGAGGGACTGCATGCTGACGCAAGCCCGCGATAAGTGGATGTGGTCCCATTCTTAAGAACACGCGCCCACCCAGTGCACACTTGTATACACACCCTAAATATTAAACCCTAGCCCCTAAATACCTGGACCTTAATCCCTAAATCCGTAAACCCTAAACTCTAAATCCCTAGACCCTAAATCCCCAAACCCTAAATCATCACCGTAAAACCCCAAAGACCGAAACCCTAAATCCCTAAGCCATCGACGCTAGCCTGGGCTTTCAAGCAAAGGCATCTCGCCACTCGTTTCGGACACCAAAACCTGGGTGAATCGGATGGTCGAGGTGCCTTCGACTCAGGTTTAGAGTTTAGGGTTTCGTGGCTTAGGGTTTAGAGGGGTTTGGGGTTTAGGGTTCTTGGGATGGCTTCAAAAAGGCTGCACAGGGTCAATTGCAAGATGCTGCTCGCTGTTTAGACTCGACGCTCTAGGGCCCTACCCAATCGAACCCACAAATTTGCTCTGTCTAAGCCTGCATAATGGAAAAACACCATGCTCCGGTATTCACAGCATAGTATAGCCCCGAAAACCTTAGTCCAGGTTAAAGCGGCTGCACTCAGACTGTGATTCGCTAAACCGAAATCCTAGACCCCAGATCCTTACTGGGCAAAAGAGTTCAACGCTTTTCCTTCGGCCTTCTGTCTGTGCATCCTAATTGGTTGCATTGTCATGCTGCGCTTTCGTCGCTGTCGGCGCTACATCGTGTTGCTGTTCTGCTTACACTGTCCAATTCCTCTTCGCCTCCTTCCCTTAGTTTTGGTGTTAGTTGTGTGTTTCCATCGTGTCTGTTAAATCGCTACTGATGATTGTGATGACAGCCCAGTGGCTGACACACCTTGCGGATCCTTGTACGTAGAAGCCCCTCGATCAGCTCTATAGTAGACAAAGCTACCCCAGCGCCCTTTTCTACTCCTTTATTCATTAATTAGACAGCTTCAGGCACAGACCTGGATGATACATTCCAACCCAGGCCTCCTCCACCACCCACATGTCAAGGACGGCTCATGATGAAAGATTTCCGGCAGCCTTTAAGCAGTCTGCGTTATGGTATCAAGCCCGACGGCGCCCTGTACCCGCGATTCCTTCAAGAGCGTTCCGAAACCCATCTCTACGTTCGAGGTCAGGAACGATCCAGCCCCCCGCCGCGCCGTTTCTTGAAACCGTGTCGTCCTGTTGCAAATTCGCTGGATTGATCCTTCTTCGATCGAACCGCGTTAATCTCGCCCCATTCTACCCCATGCTGTTGTGGGCACCATTCGGATGTTTTCTTGCAGCAACAGCGGGACGAATCATCATATCTCCAGCCTTTACACCCGTCGCCCCACATCCGAACATGAATTACAGGCGACAGGAGTCGGGTGCAACGAGATCGTGAAGTACGTGGATACGGTGAAAGCACTTGGGTTCCTTCTCTCGCATAAGTGCTCTGGGAAGAGAACAGATGCTGTTCGTACCGTGGGTTTGGCTCCATGATCAGGGCTTTGGAGGCGTTGAGAAGTCTTGGCTTCGCTTTGATGCAGTAGACCCCAATATACCCTAATACAGTACCCCAAATACTAGGATCCTTAATATATTGACCCCAAATAAGGTATCCGGACCCCAAGCCATGCCAGAAAGCCAAGGTTTGCATTGATGAACGCCGGCATCCGTGTCAACATGGACAGGAAAGACAACCTCGAAACGCTGCTCGAGATCGCCAGAAAGGCGGGATCCCCAACGCAAGCATCCTAGGAGCTAACTCCTGAACCCGAAATCTTAGACCTCTCAATCTTAAACCTGAAGCCCCAAAACCAGACATCCTAACCCGAAATCCCAAGCAATCAGTTGACTTGAGAGTTGAGTGTCAAACCCCATAGCACCCATGATGAGGGTTTGTAGTTTTTTTTTTTTTTTTTATCCTTTTTCGTTTTGTTTTGAGTGTTTAGGGTTTGGCATACTGAAGCCCTAAACCCCAAACCCTACAGCCCTCGGCTTCAGTTTTTGCCAAGTTTGGGCTTTAGGGCTTAGGGCTTTTGGGGTTTCGGGTTTTGTTTTTAGGTTTTCAGGGAGGTGGGGTTTGGGGAGTCGGGTTCAGATCATTCAGGTTTGGGGCTTGAGGCTGAGGGGGACCGGGAACGGGTGTGAGAGTAGAGCATTTTGTCTTGCGCTTTGAACGTTCTAAGATCAATCATGTCTTGCTGATTTGTCAGAGCCCGAAACCCTAACTAAAGCCTGAACCCTGAACCGTTTTTTTCCCCCCTGTTTGGCAAACTCATCCGTGACCTCTCAATCCTACTCCAGAGCTCCAGCTCCAATAGGCAAGCCCCAAACAAAACCCTAAACCATAAAGTCCGGCTCCTACTGCATCCAGGTCCAGGACGCGGACGAGACGCCCTGCAATTGCTCAAAGTACTGGGAGGACCCCACCCACGAGCGCCACGAAAAGATGCAGGGAGAACGTTGCACGTGCCGCGCTCCCAGCTACCTGAAGGCCGACCAACACCAGGGCAAGGGCCAGTAGTCTTTTTTTGTAATTCGCCGGAGAACCCCAGGACTCTCCCGGAGTTGGCAGAGGTAGGCAGAGAGTCAGGCTCGTCTTCAGAATCACGCTAGTCACAGCTGCTACTCTCGTCATAGTGCTGTCATGCGCAGCGCAAGAAGCAGCTGTAGTGCAGTAACAGCAGGAACGGTCGAAGAGGAACATGCGGAATTGCCGCAGTGGTAGTTACGACAACAAGAAGATAAGACTGGGAATTAGACGTGGCAATATTCGCAGCCGCAGCTGTAGCAACACAGGTGATGCAGCAACCATGTCAGGAGTGGTAGAACTATCCGTGATGGTCGCAGTAGCAGCAGAATCGGCACTGAGATACATCAGGAAGATACAGTATGAATGCTAACAATACGAGTAGGATGAAGAACAGAAACATTGCCGAACAAGAAGGATCAACATGGTTGGTACCAGACTCGTCGTCATGATCACCATCACCGTCACCACCATCACCACCATCACTGCCATCACCGCCATCACCACCATCACCACAACCACCGACACCACCACCACCACCACCGCCACCACCGCCACCATCACCTCCATCACCACCATCGCCACCACCACTACCATGACCACCATAACCACCTTCACGATCATCACCGCATCACCACCATCACCACCATCACCATCATCACTACCACCATCACCACCATCACTGCAATCACAGTCATCACCACCACCACCACCGCCGCCACCCCTACCGCCACCCCCACCACCCCCACCGCCTCCACCACCCCCACCACCATCACCACCACCGCCACCATCACCTCCATCACCACCATCGCTACCATCACTACCATGACCACCATAACCACCGTCACGATCATCACCTCATCACCACCATCACTACCGTCACCATCATCACTACCAGCACTACCACCATCACCGTCATCACCACCATCATCATGACCACCATGATTAACATCACACGCAGCATCGCCATCATCATCACCACCTTCATCATAATCTTCATATGACCATCACCACCATCACCACCATCACCACCATCACCACCATCACCACCATCACCACCATCACCACCATCACCACCATCACCACCATCACCACCATCACCACCATCACCACCATCACCACCATCACCACCATCACCACCATCACCACCACCATCACCATCATCATTATCATCATCATCAGCATCCATCCATCATCATCATCATCGTCATCATCACCGTCATCATGATCGAGATCATCTTCATCTTCATCCTCGTCGTCGTCACCGTCGTCATCTTCATGGCCATCACCATCAGCACCAGCAGCAACACAAACTAATCTACTAACAGCAGAGAGGACATCAATGACCATTTGCAACCAGCCGTAATGGCCATGCTAAGGCTCTGGGACTCCTGGACCCGAAAAGGGCTCCCCTAATTGACTATGCGGCTATGGGCCCCTGCTTCCCATGCCATCCGAATGGACCAAGGCTCCATGGGAATAACAGCTGCAGATGCAACCTTACACCTTTTCGCTGAAACGCCGTAAAGGCGCAAAGTACGACACAGGTGTTCTTAGAGCTGAGGGAGAGGCAGAGTGGGCCAAAGCTGCTCAGTTTGTCGCTCTCGTCTCTGACCCGCCCTTGGCTGAGCTGCCACATGTCGCCCGTTTGTGGCTGGTATAATACATGCTTTAGGGCTAGGGCCTTAGGGATTGAGTTGTGCAGGGGTTTAGATAGTCGATGTTGCGGAAAGGATAGTAGCGGAGCAGTAACAGCAGAAAGAGCAATGGTGGAACTCTCGGTTGAAACATGGCAGCCCTGGACTTCCACCGTATTTCCCAGCACCCTTTGCCTGCAGAGTGCAGCTCGACCGACCACTTGTGCACCGGGACTGACTGTCGTTCGCTTCGCTCCGAAAATAAAGGGATCTGCCGTGCTCCTTTCCAGCTTTAAGCCTTTGGAGCTTGACAAAGAAACCCCCAACCCCTAAACCCTAAACCCCCAAGTCTGAAAGAAACACACAGCCCGTCCGAGGTGCTGCAGGTTACACTGGCGAAGCAGTGTTCGCCTGCAGAGCCGCCGGCGTGGGTTCTCGTTTTGCGCCCGCTTTTCGGGTTGGCGTCGAAGCCATTTTGGGTGGTTTAGGGTGTAGAGTTTAGGGGGGGTTTGGGCAAGTGTTCAAGGGTTTTGGTGAAACTGGCGTATTGCGAGGACTATGATAGTCACTGCCAGCTTTGCTGACGACCACCACTTCCAGTACCTCAACACCACGACGAGGACTAAAACATTTTCTACTACGCACTACAGCTGCTGCTCTTACTCCCTCTCCTACTGCTACTGCCACTGCTACGGCTACTGCTACTTCTACTTCTACTTCCACTTGTGCTGCTGCTGCTGTATCTGGTGTTGGAATTACAATTCTACTACTAGTAACAGCTACTGTCGTAGTCAATGCCGGGAGTATAAGCCTTCTTGGTCCTGCTACTGCTCAGTTCTGCCTCAACCTTAAAGCCCTAAACCTACCATCCTCGTAACCCTAAGCCATCACCCTGTGTTCGGGTAATTGCCATAAAACCCTGAAGCCTAAACCCGAGGCGAAGGAAGAAAGAAGCTGGATTCTGAGGAAGCTACTCATAGCAGGCCGTAATATAGGGGCCTCAATAATTAGAAGGTTTGGGGTATATTATACTAAAGTTATTATAATAAGGAGTGCCCAAAACCCTAATCTAATTTTTTCTCACGTCCCGTTATTAGGGCCTCGGGGCCACAGGGCTCGGGGATCCTGCACGGCTTTAGGGTTTACGGTTTTAGTGTATTAGGGTTTTAGGGTTCAAGGGTCTAGTGTTCAGGGTTTAGGTTTTCTCGCCTCATGTCGTTCCCAAGCCGCCAGCTGTGGGCGACGACTGCCAAGCAACGCCGTCCCTGACTGGATGCACCGCGCTGGTGCGCCGGGGTGTGAGGGAGTCGGGATTGATGAGCTGGGCTCTTGTTAAGGACTTTCAGTTAAGTTACCAGTTACCATAAGAAGGAAGCTCGATCTATTGCTATAGATCCCTATCGTGGTAACTTCAGAAAGCAAGAACCCAGTAAGTTCACAGCAAACCCCAAAATCCGATAAACAGCTCTAAGTAACCCAAACCCTGCGGTGCTTTTTTGGTTTGGGGCCCCGATGACGAATCACATGAACTCGAAGCCCGAAACTCGCCGAAACAAAGTGACCGGGTTGTAGGGTTTAGGGTTCAGGGTTTGGGGTTTAGGGTTGAGGGTGTTTGGGGGCCTCAAGGTGCCGGGGTTTGCGGCTGAGGTTTCGAGTTAGTGTTTAGAGTTTAAGGTCCAACCTAGAAATTCTTTGTTATCTAGGGGCCTAGGGTGTAGGCGACTTTCCAGCAATGACTTGAATCTGGGAGGTTCGCGCTTTGCATAAGGAGCTGTAGACTTGTAAGATAGTAATTAGTTGGGTACGGCCTCCACTCAGTAATAGTTGAATAATATTCATAATATAGATATTTTATTAGGACCTTAATAGTAGCCCTATTATAGACTCTTACTGTATGGGGGCCGTACCTAACATGTTAGAGATTTGGTTTCCGACTTGGCCCTCCCATCTTCGTTTTTTTTTCAATCGGTCAAGCGGATCAGGGTTTGGGATTTAGGAGACCCTAAACCCTAAACCATAAACCCTAAACTCTAAACCCTAAACCCTAAGCCCTAAGCCCTAAACCCTAAACTCTGAACCCTAAGCCCTAAGCCCTAAACCCTAAACCCTAAACTCTGAACCCTAAGCCCTAAGCCCTAAACCCTAAACCCTAAACTCTGAGCCCTAAGCCCTAAGCCCTAAACCCTAAACCCTAAACTCTGAACCCTAAACTCTGGACCTTGGTGTCGGGTTTCTAGGCGGGTTCCAGGCCGGGCCGGCACCAGCAATTGTTCTCTGCGCCGGGTCCACCTTCAATTCTACGGATCTTGATATTATCACGTAGGCTCTATTCCTTAAGTTGAGGGGCATTGGGCTCTCTGGGTGCTTGCAACCTCAACAATTGCTCATCTAACCAGCCCAAACCCAAGGACCTAAGCTTCTGTAGATTTGCGATACCCCATACACTGCATCATGCACTAGGATATTAGGCCCTACCGGCAAAGTGGCTTCTAGCAGGCTGAGGTAAGGCGAATCCTAAGCCGTAAAGCTTGGGTTTGAAAGCCTTGACCGCGATCCGAAACCATAAACCTTAAGACTCTGAACGTGAACCCGGATTCCTGGCATTGACACTCCAGGCCAGAACCTCGAACAGGAACCTCAACAAGCATGCGAAAGAAACAATGAGGTAGGGATGCCGTATCTAGATGTTCTTACATTAAGGACTTTGGTCTTTGGGTTTACGTTGCAATCCCTTGCTGTTTAAAATTACCGCATCTCGAAGGTCAGAAGCCAAAAGTTACACCCTAAACGCAAAGAGTTCCCAGCGCCTAGACCCTAAAAGCCCTAAGCCCTCGACCCTGCACATCCCGGGCATCAAAGCATCTCTCGCAAACCCCAGTGGTTTAGGGTTTAGGGTGGGGTTAGAAGCCTCTGAATATGGGTTACAAGTATAGTTACCCGACTTATAACCCGATTTACAACTACCCATGAACCTGCCTATTATATTATATTAATTGCATTATATTATATCAATTACAGTATATTATGTTAATTACATTATATTATATTAATTACATTATATTCTATTTTTTGCATTATATTCTATTATGTTATACTGTGCTATAGTATGGTTTAGGGTTTAGTGTGGAGTCCTTGGGTCCCAAATCGAAGGTGCATTGCATGGCTCCCTTCGACGTCCGGGGCCCATTTCTGCTTAGTCCTTTCCCCCTAGTATTAAAGCGGGGGCCCCCCAACAGAAACTCGGAAAGAAAGTGTTTTGTTATTCGGGGGTATTAACATATCTCTACTGCCACTTTTGAGGGGTCGTGCTCTTGCTCCTGCTCTGGCTATTGCTCCCGCACTGGCTTTTGCTCCTGC